GTGTGTATTTGTGTGTGTGTGAAATGAGAGAGAGAGAGAGAGAGAGAGAGAGAAAGAGAGAGGGGGGCAGACAGACAGAGAGACAGACAGACAGACAGACAGACAGACAGACAGACAGAGGGAGCAACTAATTCTCAGTACTGTACTACACGTATACTATTCTTGACTGCTTTCCCCACCAGGGTAGTGCTACTAGTGCTACGGACTGAAGTTGTCTCCGGCCATTCCCAAAGGGGGGATATTAACATTTTCTTATGCACAGTAGAATTAATAATGTCATGCTCATGCTGTGCCGGAACAACATAGGGAGAACTGCTGCTTTTTCTTTCCTCACCCTTACTATCCCCATTTTCCCTCAACTTCTTTTGTATGTTTGTCACTCTCTTGTGAACTGTTATTTCCGGCCGGGATGCCTTGATAGTCGAAGGAGACTTTGTGCTGTTGAGGCTAGAGAGGTGAGCAGAGTAAACCTGATTCCCCGTTTGGACTTCTCTGTTGACATCCACCCCTTGGCAATAGTGGTATGAGAACAACGGTCTAGAACTCTACAACGCTGTGTGTGTCCCTGGGTTTCTAAGCTTTTATGCAGTTGCCAGAGCCGTAAAACCAGATTCTCTTCTACACGATCTTTGGTAAAACCTTACTAAAAGCACTAATTCTTGACAGCGCCAGCTAGGACGAGTGTTGTTCCGGTTCACCATAGAGCGCACCATTTCACGTTGCACGCGCCCTCGACTATCACGAGCTTGGCGTTTTGACCTTCCTTTGGGCGCCCATACACTTTTAGTTATGAACTTCAACAATACCTTCGCATTGAGCAGTTTCGGGGTCCACATCAAAGGCGGTACGAAGACTTGGTCAATGTCTTCATAATCACGTGGGTTCCAAGCAAATGCTGGCTCTCTCCACGTCAGAAAGAAGTAGCCTGACACAGCAAGGGCCATCATGGCTTCGTCTACGAACAAAACCTGGCATGGTAAAACAAAACAAAAAACAACACGTTTTCATATATTATGTATCTCTAGAACAATCATTTCAATGTTGCAGGTTCCTATTATTATTATTATTATTATTATTATTATTATTATTATTATTATTATTATTATTATTATTATTATTACAGTCGAACCTGTGTAAGACGGCCACCCATTGTCAAGGAGAAAAGTGGCCGTATAAGACAGGTGGCCGTCTTAGGCAGGACTGATCAAGATGAAGAAAACAAACCATTTCTATCTGAGAAAACAAACCCTTCCTTTCTGAGGTCCCAACCGAAGGTAGATCTAGCTGCATTGTTGTTGTTGTTATTTATTTGTGTTGTTGTTTTCGCTGGGGTTTTTTTTTCTTTTGTTGCTGCTTTTGTGCACGGGTGACAATAAAACGAAATGTGTCAGACAAGGAGGATCAAGTGCTATGGTAAAACAAACACACGTGTCGCTACCACTCGGAGAACAAGCGACGCTTCTGTCACAAGTTCATGCTGACGTCCATTGTTACTTTGTTACAGACTGGGTAAACAGTGACCACTCATCTCACTACGATTTGTGTATGGGTTCTGGGCGGGGCTTATGGGTTATGAGGGATCACACGCTTCCCTCCTCAGCAGCTGAAAATTAATTTTGTTACCTATTGGTCAACAGTGGGAGGGGCCTACGCAACATGATCAGTTGGAGGGACTACTTAACAACGACAGGTTTTTAGATTATGACGGCTCGCCCACAACGCCAGGGGCCAATGCTTGATTTATGACAAAGCGTAATGGAGTCACTTAGGTGGCCGTCTAAGACAGGTGTTATTGCTTTGTGTGATAGGGGTTGTGTGTTGAAATATGGTGGCCGCGGCCGCGGCCGCGTTGGACAGGTGCCCGTTTTACACAGTTAAATTATATAGAAAAAACGCAAGGGGGGAAATGGAAACTGTCCGTTTGTACAGGTGACCGTCTTATAGAGGTGGCCGTCAGGGCAGGTTTGACTGCATTATTATTATTATTATTATTATTGTTATTATACTTATTCTTATTCTTATTCTTATTATATTTTGATTTTAATTATGATGATTATTATTATTGTTATTATTATTATTTATTTATTTATAAATTTATTGATTGTTACTATTATAATTACTACTACTATTATTATTATTATTATTATTATGATTATCATTATTATTATTGTTATTTCAATAGACGTTTTGCGGCTCCATCAACACAATATAGATCATTTAGGAGGCGGGCTTCGACCCTGCCCTGTCAGGGCCAGCTGGTGTTGGGAGGGATACAACGTCTCGACAGGAAGACCAAGATACTCGATGAAAATTCTCCCAACAGGGATATCGAACTCGGTCTTCTGCGTGCGACGGTGAAGGCCCGAAACGTTTCATCGTAGACCCTTTTGTTTTATTGGAGCCCCCCCCCCCCCCCCCCCCCCACCAAACCAGGTCCACCTGATACAGGCAAATCATTGCATGATCACGCCAGCGTTTAAAAGCTGGCAACGTTATATAAAAAAAATCACTACGTTTCTAGAATCACAGACAGTAGTTCTTGGCACGGTGCCCACCTATCCAAAGAGAACGCGATCACGACGCCGACTATTTGCTTAGCGCATCATTATAACATCAAAATAAATAAATAAATTTAAAATAAATAACCAAATAAATAACTAAATAAATAACTAAACAGCTTAACCAGGGGCGAAGGCTGACTTGTTTGACAGGGTAATCAAAGTGAAATGGGACCAGATAGGGCCTGTAGATATCACACAAGAATCTTACTCAAGGCGGCGACTCTGAGTTGTGAATGAAAACAAATCCGGAATTCATATTGTATGTTCAACCGCCAAAATAATCGGGAAAGTATCTTATTAAATATCAGTTCCCACTAAAATTAAACTTAACTTTAGATGTGAATACATAAACATAAAGCAAAGAAGCAGAGATGTCAGTACTAGATCTATATTATGTTATAGATCTACCAGTGAGTCTAACTCTTTGGTAGAACATGACAATTATTATTTTTTAAATTTCACATTTGGCTGTTTTTGTTAGCCTTTCGCGGCCAGGAGCTGGTGTCATAATCGAGGTCACGATCTGATTATAGGACGGTAAAAAGTCGAGGAAAAAAAACAAGCACAAGCAGCAGTCAAGAGATTATTAAGAGTTAGTTCTCCTCACATTTGTGAGGTAGACTCGACCAGTGTTAGTTAGCTTACTTAATCAGGGCTGGTGATTGATTTTAACTGGGCCCCAAAGGGGTGAACAGGGTATATGTGGCAATGAAACAGCTTTGACTGCCATGCACATGTTCCCTTCAACTCTATTCCAGCCTCACTTTATTTGTTGATTACGAACGTCTTTTGACATTTAATTTATGAGGTTTACGTTTAAGGATGAATTTGACAGCGACAATGTTTCAAAATTAGAAAGGGAAGCAGTGATTATTTGATTATATAGACGCTTCGCCCCTGAGCTTAACAACTAACTAACTACATGTAACTAACTTACGAATGAACGAACGAACGAACGAACGAACCAACTAACCAACCAACCAACCAACCAACAAACCAACCAACCAACCAACCAACCAACCAACCAACCAACCAACCAACCAACCAACCAACCAACTAACTAACTAACTAACTAACTAACTAACTAGTAGTTCCCGCATGTTCTTTCTATAAGACCTGGTAATTTTGACAACGAATCCACCAGAGACTTGATCTTTAAATAATATAGTTTATTTCATAGCCCCCTTCCCCCCCCCCCCCCTCCTCGTACTAAACCAGGAGACATTAACAATTATTACGTTAGTAATTGTCTCTGAACAAAAAAAGACACAATACACGTTACAGGCTACCTTTAGATCATTTTGTCTTAAATCTCTCTGAACTGGGTAAATAAAATACATGTATACCAGTACCAGCCATCTATGTCGGTTTACCTGCTGAGGGGTGAAGGAAACATTCACTGGAAGGGTCTCATTTCTCCCGACAGTTGGGGGCACTCTGTTCTTGGCGTACGGATGCTCCAGGATGTACTCTCTGAGGGCCACGTAAGCGTTCCTGGTTGAGTTCGAAGACGACCCAAGAACCAGGCGAGAGACGAGTATTGGCGCAAAGGCAAAAAATGTGAAGAAATTCATGTTTGGACTTATACACCCTTGTCCTTGACTGCCAGGACCAGGCCACCCTGTTCAGGCCGAGGGAAGGACACTGCAAAATCACAGCTCTTAATAATAATAATAATAATAATAATAATAATAATAATAATAATAATAATAATAATAATAATAATAATAATAATAATAATAATAATAATATATCTTTTTTGCGACGAGATTTTTCAGCGCATGCCCAAGTGAGGAGAAAGAATGGCTTGGGTATATCCATGCATGGCACAGGAAGTATCTCTCACAGCACGTTGCCCATGCAGGATACACGAACTGATGATACGTTGCAAAATGTCCAGCTAGTACAGATGTACATGTATGTCCTTCTTTCTCTGCTGGAGATTAACGATCTACTCCGAACACACACATCATTAGACTTTGGCATCTGAGATTTGGAGTAAAACTGAGGATAGACAGGAATCATTTCTCCTCATCAACACCATCGGAATAACGTCCTGGATTATCATCATTGTCAACATACAATTATCACAGAAAAACGTGACATGTACAGTCACTCGTTGACCCCAAATTACGCCGTTTGGAAAACTTTCTTTTCTCTGACAGCTAGAGATGAAAGCTTTCTTTTCTCTGACAGCTAGAGATGAAAGCTTTCTTTTCTCTGACAGCTAGAGATGAAAGCTTTCTTTTCTCTGACAGCTAGAGATGAAAGCTTTCTTTTCTCTGACAGCTAGAGATGAAAGCTTTCTTTTCTCTGACAGCTAGAGATGAAAGCTTTCTTTTCTCTGACAGCTAGAGATGAAAGCTTTCTTTTCTCTGACAGCTAGAGATGAAAGCTTTCTTTTCTCTGACAGCTAGAGATGAAAGCTTTCTTTTCTCTGACAGCTAGAGATGAAAGCTTTCTTTGCGCCCTCGGATAATAGTCAAACGATACACAGATTAAACTGTTTCACAAATAACCCTAGACCTGGAAATGAAATCAAACTGGCGTGCTCAAACAACTGTATACGCCATTCGAAGAAGTTAAGATTTGAAAATCCTGTACAGCAAAACAAAAAAATAATAATAAAAATACCGTAGCCATAATGGATAGGTTTGCTGATTAGTAAGCAAGAAAACTTTGAAAAAAGGTTATCTTAAAAAAATTAACATAAATGAATAAACAAAACAATAATAATACTCTAAAGGGCGTTTTTTGTAAAATCTTTTGCAATTTTTTCAAATAAGTGACTTTTTGCGTACACTTTCTTCCACGATAATGCCCCCACTCTCCCTAAAAAATAGAATTTTAAAGAATCCAACAACCTCAAACAAAACCAAAACCACTGAGCGTATGGTGCGGAGAATCAAAGCAGAAATTATTTTTGGTGTCAAGAATGGCTCAATGTTTTCCAACAAGAATCAATGATATAATATTTTTTGTCAATTAGTCTAATCTGATGTTTCTTATTCCAACACTTCACTTTAAAAACAAGCACTCTGGTGTTGCTGTCGTGTAACGCCTAACTGGTTATATGATAGATCATTTCGAAGTCAGGGCACTCATTCATCAAGCCAGATAGGAATTATATAATTGTATTCCAGGAAAGACGAGAAGGCAAAAAACTGCACGAATCTCATATTTTCCATTTTTGATATATAATCATACTTCTATATTTCTTGAATAAGCTCTGGGATGCCAGGATTTCCCAATTACTCTCTGTGCATCGTATTGTGCGGCTAAAACAGGCTTTTTACAGCGAGAATCTTCGCCAATATAATATTAATTTAACAAAAAACAATAGCCCCGATGCAAACGTGCAAATCGCGCTACCCTGCTTTGCCACTTATTTATCCTCGAGA